TTCTGTGAACTTCAGGCTGATGCAGATGATGATACACTGGAATCCTTTAACTGGAAATAATTTTTCTTTTCTGTTTTCCCTCCGCTGCTCTGCTCAAGAATCTCTCACCGGCAGCTTCCTGAATTTGATGAGGTGCTGAAAGTTTCTGGTTGGAATGAAGAAATGAAAATGCCAAGCCCGGAGAAGAAATTCATTCTTATTGCTTTGCCTGCTGGCGCGGGTTCTGACAGTACGTGTGTACAATCAGTTTGTGATCTTGATTTTTCCCTTTGGTAAAGCATAGACTGTTTGCCTGGAACTAATGTTTTGGGAATATTTTAGTCTGGTTTTGTTTGTGGTATAAATTTAAATGCTAGATTCTTAGTTTATCTTTTGCCTTCTGTAAGGGCACACAAGACCCGTAAGTGCAAAGGATGTGCTGTAGAGCTCCAGCTCACCAGTTACATTTTGAAATGGGAGTGATACAGCTTCCACCAGTGTAATCAAATGTGATCATCTTTGTTGTAGCTGGAGCTGTCAAACCTTAAAAGATTAAATTTTTCAGAGGTGACTTCTTTGAGTAAACAACTGCAACAGGATGGTGAGTTGGATAGGAATGTGCTCCCAACGCTAGAATCACATTAGGAAAATGGAAGCAAAGGGGACACTAGTATTTCTTTAAAAATGTTTTGGGGTTGGGGTTAGGGCCATTTTTTTTTTGACCTTTATTGGATTGACAGGCCTCTACTTTATATGCATCAAAAAGCTGCTTGGAGGTTGTGGGAAAAAAAATAACGTGAATATTATCACCTTATCTTACTATATATAGTAACTTCCTCGGCAAACAATACTAAAATGGATTTCTTTGGTGAAATCTAAATGTATAGCTCTGTGGCTTAAAAGTGTTCTGTATTTACCTCTTTAATCTGCTGTATCAAAACCTTATTTTGCATGAAATATGCTTTATGCAGCTGTTTAACAGAGAAATAAGAATTTCTTTCCTTCCGTATCACTCTTGTCTCTCAGATTTTAACAGTGGGATAACTGCATGATACTTTTTTGGGGGAGTATATACGTGGGTGTTTTGTGGTGTGGGTTTTTTGGGAGGGAGATTGTGTGTTTGTGTTGTGTTTTTTTTTGTTGTTGCTTTAAAGAAGCTGAAATATCATTGAAGTAGGAAATAAGCAAAGGCAATTTCATATTGATTTATGTTTTTCTTTCTTAAATTGTTTGTTCTGCATATTTTTATGCCTTACCTTTTACGTCTTCTAAAACAGATTTGCAAACTGCCATAAAGACTTTACTTAAAAAAGGACCAGGATTGCAGGATGCCAAACAATCACAGTTCATTGCTTTCAGAAGGTAATGGAGCATGCAGGCAGACATTGAAAAAATCCTTGCTAGCAGCCACGATCTAAAAATAGGTGAACGTGTTGAGTTGGAGAGGCTAGTGGCAATATAAAATTACTAGAGAGGACAACAGGTCAGGTGTCTTTTCCTGTACCTTCTGGTTGCCGCCAGTCTCTCCACGGAGAGTTGCTTCATTTTTCTGTAAGCTTAATGTTATTTTTGCACCATGATTCCTGCCTTTGTGTTTGTGTTCATCCGTGCTGTTTATGTTAAAGAAACAAAGGATGGCCATAAGTGGTCAGTTTTTGTAGTAGATTCTCTGAGAGGCTGTGCTCTGGTGTTTGCTAACAGTGCACCGTTCTTCAGAAGTGGAAGGTGAGGGCTTGACTGCAGGAAGAACCTGCAAAATAGAAAGAAATGTCCATACTCAAACGTATCTCATCGTGGCAGAGGTGAATTCCAGGGCGCATGATGGAACATACATACAACCTACTGTCTAGACATGCATTTCTGTCACAGGAGGACATTGGCCGAATGACAGGAGATGCTTGCGTTTTGACCATGTGACGAGGGCCAGATGTAGTCATATAGCCTGGTGGGCGTTAGTGCTTCTGCTGGCAAATGCCTACAGTTTGGATATTTGGAAGCACAGTACTCGTCGTTTAAGAAGGGGTGAGGTGTGGGGCTCACACACTGTGAAGAAAGATGGGGAAGGTTAGTAATCGCTGATAGTAATGTGAAGCATGACAGGAGCGTGAATAGTATGGATGGCCTCACAGAAGCACTGAAGAGATGAATGTAATATCCAGTAGTACCCATAGTCCATAAACTTCTGCACAAAAAGGTACTTTAGAAAAAACTCTCCTACTTCTATTTGTGAAGAACCTTTTCTCAGCAATTAAAAAACACCCACTGTTTATGGGTTACCAGTGTGCAAATAAGCGATTTATAAATTTTAGCTAGTTCACCTATTTGTCGTGAATACTGAGTACCTCTGAAATCAATTTTATTTCTCCAGTCTGCATTCAGGTACAATACCATTATTAATGATTTCCATATAAGATTGTTCTGTAATATATTTATAGGTACTTAATCTGCATTTATAAGTTAAAATTCCAGGTCTTTAAAAAGCAAATAAATCTTCTGACTATTTTTAATACATCCACAGACAGAAAATAATGTGTCCAGGCTTTAGTTTTCTTTAGTTTTCTTCTTTAGCTCGATTTGGTTTTAAGATAATTGAGGTATGCATCGCAAGCATCCTTGCCTCACTTTCTATGGTATTTAGACAAAACTGTTCCTTTACTGCTCTGTCTTCTAAACTCTGAATCGGGGATTGTTTTTAATTGTTGGTGGAAGATCATCATAGCTGAAATGGGCTTTTCCCATTATTTATAAATCAATGCTAATGTGAAATTGCATGAATTGTATGTTTTGTATGGCATGATTTTGTTCATGTTCTTGTTTTGTGTGATTTAGGCAAGACTGTGATCTAATAAATGAACTTTGTTGCCGACACTATTCAAATCACCCAACCAGGTAAACCAGCGTTTAGCAAGATTTTTTTTTTTAAGTTTTTTTTTTTATGAACAATCTCACTTTGTTTTTGAAAGCGTTATGGCCAGGCCAACAACCTAAAATAAGATTGTAAAACTTTCAATGTTTCATCTAGATCTGGTTATTTATGTTAGAAATTTATATAATAATATTCCTTTGAGTTCTTTAATCTTAACCTGGACTGTGAACAGAGATAACATAAACTAGGTGTTTGCCTTCCATTTAAATTGTCATGATGTGAATTGCAAGATTTTGAGTTACTGCTGAATATTTAAAATTGACATAAAAGCAACTTGGAAAAAAACCCTCAAGGTTAATTATTTTTTGCCGCTGTATGATTTCTAGATAGATTCTGAAATATTTTTAGAAGCAAGATTTTGGTGCTACTCCACATTACTGTTTTTTACCAAAAGGTTTTACGGAAGTTCAAGAAACATCTTTTAAATGTGAGTTGTCTTAAGAGTTTTGAACGTTATTAATGTTTTTTATATGGCCCAAGTATAGAGAGGGGGAAAGAAAAGGAATACTGAGAGATGGTAGATGCATACTTTGTAAATACATTTCTCCGCCTTTCTTTCTCTGACGTAGAGATCATAAAAAACGACTTTTATTTCAAATTGATGACAAGATTTCCTGCATGCGGAATATATATCTCAAGGATCTCTTGCCAGCCCGTGGTTTCAGAGAGGATCCTAATCACCATGAATGCAAAAGTGGAGAAACCACCCTCGCTCCAGAGACTGCTGAGGAGGGCAAACGACTATGCAACGGAGATATATTTTTCATAACAGAGGTAAGTCCTTGCTGCAAGAACTTGCACAAAGAACCCCAGTGGTAACTGATTCAGTCCTTGTTGAATCCCCAGCACAAAACAGTTCACACTTTATAATTTTAGTCCACAATATATACTTAGTTCTTTTGCTAAACTATCATGTGGAAGGCAAGAAAGAGGGAGACTCGCAATAAAAAAACAGTATCTCTGGGCGTTTTTGTAAAATGTGTTTCAGTTGGTCTGGTTGTGTCCAGTGTAAATATGTTCTGTAAATACTCAGATGTATTGTAATGGCAATGGATAGTGTTTGGGATATAGGTAGAAATACAGTCTTAAGTAAAGAATAAAGCTAATGTTGCAGCTTGAGCTCTCCCCTGGCAGAAAATTAAGCTGACCAGAAAAATACAGCAACAAAAAACTGTGTTTTTCTGCTGGGGTCAGTGAGCTGAGTTGACTCAGCAGAGGGCCCTGTGGAAGTACCAGAATTTGTGCATGGGAAAGGGGGACCGGCCAGGGTTGGTGGGAGAAAATAGGCTCTTCTCTGTTTGCGGCAACAAATTGTTAAACGCCCTCACTGGTGTATTTCACAGTACGCTACGATAATCTAAATTCTCTGGGGGTTAAAGCTGCCTTTCTCAGCATTTTTCTTACTAAACAGAAGGAGTTAGGGTAGACCCTGTACATTGAAACTATTTTCCTTGAAGGTGGTCAGTGAAAGATAGCAAGCTTTTGGGTTTAGTGTCTTCTGAAACTATTTCACTGGCTTGACATTGCAGCTATTGTAATTTCAGGGAAAGCTGGAACATGGGCAGACGCAGCTGTACAGACATTGATCACGCTGCTGACACAAGCTTGCTGCTGAGTGTTCTCATGCTATTATTTCTTTAGGATGTAGAAATTGATAAACAGCGCTTATTGACCATCAGCAGCACGTACGGCTCCACATTCACTGTGAAGTATAAGGCACTGAAGAAACTATGTCACATAAAACATGCATGGGCCAGAACTATTCACACATTTCAGGTAAAAATAAAGCAGCTATGAGCGGATAAAACTTTCTCATGGCTTTATTTTGCTAATGCACTGTATTTTCATGTGAAAGGGTCAGAAGCTGTCTTGAAAGTAAAATTCCTTGAATGCAGGATTGAAAATATTCTTCAGAATGTCCCCAGTTCTCTGCAACTTCCTTGTTCTTTTTTTTTTTTTTGGCACTACTTGCTGGAGATCGTAATTTGATCAGGCATTCTTAAACATGTTTCAGGGTTCTGAGGAAAAAACTGTTGTCTACGTGGTTGGCAATCCTGGCCGTCAGCACTGGCAGCATGTGTACACGGCTGTGACCAGAGGACGCTGCCGTGTCTACGTTATAGCTGAAGAGCCGCACCTCAGGAGAGCCGTCACTAACAAGAATGTGCGCAGAAAAACTTCCTTACAGAGATTTTTGAGAGAGGCAATTGCAGAAACAAGCAACTGCCCCAAACAAACTTCCTCTCCCCTGACGAAGAGCTGGCAAACTCAAGAGCTTGAGACTCTGTCTCAAGGTGCTCCTGACCCATCTGACCCTCCAGCTGACCTGATGAGGCAGGAGAGGTCAGCAGCTCTCGGTAAAGAAGAAGAGCAGATGGGCAGTTTGAAGCAAAGTCCGTGGAAAAGACAACGAAGTCTCACAGAGAATTCTGAGGGTGCTATGAAAAGCCCCTCTGTAAGTATCTCCTTACTGAGACAGTTTAAACCAAAACTTTTGCACTCTCTTTCACCACTGCAAGTCACTTGGATACTGTTACGATTGTTTTATTATTGGTTGTGTGATAACTTTCAAAATGACCAGTAATTGGTGAAGTAGGCAAGTTTGGCAGGTGTCTTCCCAGAGTACTGTATGACTAATAGGGAAAAATAATTTATAATGTCACTAGCAGTAAATTTTATACATCTTGTTGCTCCTTGGGGTGATCCGTTGGCTAGCTTAGCCTGTATTAGCTTACTCTTTGTGTACAGGTGTCAGTTTTTAGGAGCTGACCTGCTGTGAAAGATTTATATAAAATTTAATGGTTGAAGTTGATTTATATACAGTCAGACATGCTTAACAGATGCTTTTTTCTTTATAGCTAATTTCTGAGCTCTGTCATGGGGAAAGAGCTTTTCTTGAAGATGTTACTGTATGTTAGTTCTAGTTCAAACTCTGATAACATTGTTTTGTTTTGACAGACAAAAGTACAAGAGTCTCCACTTGGGTCTTCCAGACTTAAGAATCTAACTTTGGGACAACCAACTCCTAGGAAGCTTTTCAAAAACTAACAAACAATTAACTGTCCTAGTTATGAGCCCTTCTTGAACCTGTTTTGTTCAAGATTTTTGAGTATGTGGATGATTTCAAAGACTTTCCTCCTGTATTTGCATGTTCTATGAAGAACAGCTTGTTTTAAAGCGAGTCTTGTATTTTCAGTGATCTGTTTTTAGTAGGAGATTCCTTGGTGTGCTGGTCATCAAAAATGGTATAATTCTTTTGTTTTGGTGAAGCATGAACTTGCAGGTCTCACAGGATCCAGGCATTGCCTTAAAAAAAATTATATGGGGAGTTCTTGGTTTAAAGACTCTAGCCATCCATACCAAGATCTGTCCTTCTCCTAATGCTACAGAATTGATGAGAAGCTGTAACTGATGTGCTGAAACTGCAGTTTACTCTTGAGTCAAAAAAACAGTTTACAAAGGGGACTGTCGCTTTTTCTAATGTGGCAGATTTATGGGCATGGAGCTTTGATGGATTATGGATTTTAATCTAGTTATAAATAGAAAAGGAAGCTGCAATCAGTGACAGACAATTTTTCCCACTCTGTACTTGAAAGAGATGCAGAACTTGCCATTGCTGCTTTAGCTAAGAGTTATATCCTGGTAATGATGGTGCTAAAAGAGAAGCAAAATTCCCAGGCAGAGTTCAAATAACATTCCACTTCCAGCTTTTTTTTGTGTACTAGGTAGACTTGCCGCATTGTAATTTTTGAGATTAATAAGCTGAATGTTTAATCAACGACTCAAATGGAACTAAAATTTGGACAGCTTGCTTGCTTACTTTTAACAATTACTATTTTTTTACACATAGGGCAGGAAAAAGTGTGCCACAAATATAAACAAGGTATTTTTTGCTAAAACTGTGGGGAAAAATATAAAGTAGGAAAATGCTATCTTATTTTTAATGTCTTTAAATCACTGTTTATTTCAATTTATACAGTTTTTCCATACAAATATTTGCAACAGTTTGAATTTCAAAAAACATAACATAGACGATAAATATCATGCTATTAAAGTATTAAATTTGTACAAAAATACTTTACAGTTTAATACTTATTTGTTACAAATAAAAATACATATTTAAGTGACTCATGAACTTTTTTTCTTCCTTTTTTTTTTTTTTTTTACATGATTCAGCATTGAATGTCATTCTGACCTTTTCTGGCAGTGCTGAACTAGAAATCAGAGATACCTGTGTGTGCAGGGCAGGTGAGCTTGTTCATGTATGGGAAACAGCAACAGGGATACAGTTCAACAGTTTAAATTGACCAGAAACAACTCCGTAAGGTGATTGCTTAGATATGGAGACTCTACAAATGTACAAACCCAGTACCTTTATATTCACCAATAACAATAATTACCAATAACAACTTGAATACCGGAATAAACCAAAGCAGCTGCTGGTGAGCATATAAAGCAACTGGCAGTATTTTATTGCTTGGGGGGAGACGGGAGAATTTGTGTGATGGGTTTGTAAAACATATTTACAATTTTAAATTCTAAAAACGTGTTGCGGCGGTAATGTTTATCATAAAGAAGGCTGAAAACAAAGCATAGTAAATGGGATTTCTGTCCCTTCAAGAAATCGTTTGACTTAAAAAGCTTGCAGGTGACAGTACAAATTTACAGGTTTATGGATCATTAAAGAGCTTTTGTATTAGTCTTCTGCTGCCATAGTTTTAAAAAAAGCCATTTTCTTTTAAAACCTTTCTAATTTGTCTGAACTCGTTTCAGTTTTACTCTTGTCAGTAATCCTCCCTCAGAGGTTTTTATCCCACTAAAAAAGTCTCTGCTTAAAAATCCCCACGGGTTGCAAGACATACCATTAAATATTTCATTGCATAGGGAATAACGTACGTTCTAACAAAATTTACCAAAGTGGGGGAGTAATGTTCACCGCATACTGCAGTGTCCTACAAGCGTTTTGTTAAAACATTAAAAGCGTGCTTTGGCTGACGAGTGCACCCTTCTTGCCAGCAGAATGGAGGTCCCCAAAATCACTGATCTACCCGTGGAACACGAAAGCCCAGTGCAGCGTACAGCTGGTCCTTGTCCGTCAGACAGCACCTTTCTGATAAAATGTTTTTAAAAGCTGTGTAACCTGGACCCCGCTCTTTGTTAGCAGAGGTTAACGCTGTGACTTTCCCTCAAACAGCTGCTGCTGAAAGGAGAGGAACGTTTACATCATGTTTAAAACAGCTCCTCAGTTTTATTATTTGAGGGAAAAAATGGCCATTATACACTTGTCTGTACTGTTGCTAATGCTGGGTTGTTTAGAATGGAATGATTGACTTCATGAAGAATTAAACTTTTTCAAAAGTAACCATGAATTAATATAAGCCTTGAGCCTCCTGTGCTTTTTAGTGCTATGTAGCATCTGAGCCTCAACCGCAGAGAAATCTTAAAGGGATTTAGCACCATAATTGTCTTCCGATACCGAATGTCCCGCTAAAATGATTTTCTGCTATAATGTATTTGTAGGATCCCGTGTCTCTGTAGTGACACTGGCGTGTCCGCTGTGTTGAAGGAAGGCGTTACTCTGATCGCCCCACTCCCCGCTCGCTGAAGTCTGTTCTGAGCTTCCTTTCTGAGCTGCCAGTGGGTTTCTGCTAATAACCAGTTCCAGCTTATTGCCAGATTCTGCGATGAGGGGCACAACTAGGCAGCAGTCAAAGTCTCTGGTGCGAACGTGGTTTACCTGAACGATTAGAAGATTGATTTTTGTTACCATTTTAGGAAAAATAAATGTGATCACCAGAGAAACAGATTTATCCCTGAGACTATGGAACCTGATTTAAATATTCCAGGTAGAGAATTGCCCAATACAAGACCATTTAACCGTGGTGTCTGGTCTGAAGACACGAGTGAAGTTTCCTACTCCCCTTTAACAGAGCGTAGCTCACGTGGGCATACTGACACTGGTGGTAGCTGTTGGCAGCGGTCACAATGCCCACTCCATAAATGACGTTTAACAGCGCGTAGTTTTTCTGTCTTTCATGGTGTTCATTAATTTAAATGCAGTAGATCACATCTAACATTTCAATTCAGCTCAGGTCTTCTCTGGTTTTAATTAATATATATAAAGTTATATGAAGTATTTTATTGGGCTAGTTGACAAGTAATTTTATTTTTTCATCACAGTCCAGCTTGCACTGCGGTGAGGGTGGTGCTGGGTGAGTATCACATTATTCCACTTGTGTCAGTCAACAACTTGGATTAAGAGCAGAAACAATGCTCAAGTCTGTATCAAGAACAGCAAAAATTACAAATCTGTCTGGAAGTGCCTTGGGAAATGCCAGCTTTCCAGCCAGCATTTGTATGTCTCCTTTGGAGTGCTGAAACACCTAACCTTCTGAAAGAATTTGTTTAAATATGACTTTACAGAAGATTCTAGCCTTAGTGCCACTGCACAACAGCCCAAGTCACAACGAAGTGCTGCCGTTTCTTACCAAGGCTCCGAGCGATTTACACGCCCTGTGGTGCAGAGCGATTGCAATCGTTTGTCCTTCTTCCTGTCCCCCTGCACACAACCTTTCCCAGCAGAAATACAAAAGAACAGCACTGCTCGTCATTTAAAATCCAATACGCGATGTAGATAATAAGGCTGTTCCAAATAAGTGATGAAAACGCTTCGTGCCATTTTCTACGCTCATGGCTGCGTAGACAGCTACCCAAACACCCTGCAGTGTGGTTAGGAATCCTTTTACAACGTAATCTGTATGTCATGGCCCTTCCTGCTAAACCTGTGTGGTGCCACAAACATTACCTGTAAAAGTCTGTCGTAGGGTTTTAAACCTCCCAGGTCGCCAGGGCCAGCTGGTCGAATGTTCTTAACATACACTCCTTTTTCCAGTAAACCATCTGAGACACTGAACCCAAAGTCTTCTCCATCAGAGTCCTTGTACAAAGTTACCTGCGGACGTGGTGTGACAGGATGAGAAGGGGAAGGAAAAAACCCAAAAAAGGTTGCTCACATTCCTACAAGCATTAGGCAAGCTTTCTTCCTAGGATGGTTTTGGTGTTTTTTTTTCACGTTAGCGAGAGATCACTTACTTACTTACCTGCTATTTGGTACTTACTTACAGTATTAGAGTTGTCCCTGTTTTGACAGTATGTTACTATTCTCAAAAGCCACCTTATCCTTCAGTAATAAACAGCCCTTTTCACTTCCGCGTGTCAGCTTGTGGTATTTAGCCTACCTTTTGTGGCATCATTTTTTTGAGTCTTAGTTTTTTTCCTTACCCTGTTCTCTAGGCGCCAGGATCTGAGTACAAGATGAGGTTTAATTTTGCTTCAGGGATGAAGACCTGGCCTCAACCACGCAATTGGTGTCGTGATGTCCAAAACTTCCAGAGGCCATGAACACCACCGGCACCATAAGCCCTAGCTAGCCTGGTCTTGGCCCTGTAAAGCCCAATCTCAAAAGTGCTCAGTATAAGAGTTAGAATGCAATCTTGTAAGAAAGTAGGAATGAGGCTCCTTCCAAAAGAGCTTGCAGGCAGTGTTCTTACGGTTACATAGCCATGAGGTGGTCATTCAAAAGCAGGAAACAGATGTTAATAAAACTGTTAGGAGAAGGTTTTTCAGGTGTTCAGAGAACACGTCCTTGCAGGTAGCTCTGTGAATTCGGCTATTTGATAGAAAAAGATTCAGAGGCTTCTTTGTAGGTATGTGGTATGCTTTGAGGTTTTTATTTTTCCTTGCTCTTCTTTCACACCCGGAGTGCAGACCTATGCAAGTCAATTCCCCGTGGCTGCTGTGTTTAAGGTCTTTGCCTTCTTTTCTCCCATCTTCCCCTAAAGTAACTTCTGGCTGAACCTGTCATAGGAAGTGCCAGTCCACATGAGCTCACCTTAGCTTGTGTCTGGCCTACAATGCACGTGCTACTTCACACCCAGCTTGTGAGTCAAAACCTGGAGCCTCGCAAATGGTAAGGGGCACGAAAGCCGAGTTTTGCTGTAGAGGGACAGTGGGAAGTCCTAGGGGGGGCGGGGGGGAGGCAAGCAGGG